ATTAATTTAATTTTAAATTAAATAATATTTTTATGATTCAAAATCTATTTTATATTAAATGAAGTCATTAGCAGGCAGTCTGAGTTGTGTAGCTCTGTCATAGATCATCTATTTAACAGGATTGCCACTCTGACTGAAATGTTTTTCATTCAAGCCTTAAAAAAGAAAATAATCATTTTTCTAAATGAATTTTTCAGAGGGCCAGACTGAAGTCCCCTGCGGGTTGCAAGTGGCCCGTGGGCCACCAGCTGAATATGCCCGACGTATAATCAAAAAATGATGCATTTGTGTGAATTACTCTAAACTGTTCGGATTTTTTTGCAGAAACAACCAATCCACTTCGGTGAAGGTTTGAACTAGCCTTGAGCTCATCAGTGAGACCAGAGTTAAAGTATGTTCAACAGGTAAGACATTTATTGTTTATCTTTGACTGAATTTAATATTTTTGTACGAGACGAGGTGTCATTTCTTCACAGCACAAATGTAAAAAATGTAAATCAAGTTAAAAAACAACAACTTGGATATTTACAGAATAAGACTAAATAAAAACCTGCTTATAATATTTAATATCTCAGTAGATATAAGCTGAAGTACCTTTGACATGGGGATACTTTGAAACCTCTTCACGTGAGCCATCGTCACTGTAGGCTGTTAGAGATATGCACTTTAACCTTTATGTTGATGTATTCAGATCAGAAACCAACAATTATTTCAGTCAGAAGTTTAAAAATATTAAAAATCTACAACAATATGAAGCAGATATGAACTCATGAAGAGTAAGACTAACTCACCTGATTGTCCACATTACCTCTGTTGCTCCTCTCTGTCCACCTGATGGCTTCCCTTCTTTTTATTATCTCACATCAGCTGCAGCTCTGTCCTCACCTGTGTGAGCGTCCCGATGGAAAGACCCCAGCTCTGTGTTGTTGAGCAGCGACGGCACAAGTTTACGCTCAAGTCATTCCCACAGGATGGTGACAGAAGTGCCACACTTCCACTAATAACCTGTCAACAGGCCAGAAGAGTAGATGTGGCATCAATATGTCTGCTCTGAAAACAGGGCCAGATGGACAGGTAGGAAGAAAAATAATAATGAGAATATTTCCCAAAAGACAAAAGCATTTAATATTTCGCAGAAGAAGATTAAAATAAATAAATAAAAGGATATTTGCGACACAGCAGCTGGATTTTGGTTTGGGGAACATGCCATTGTATTATAATTAATAGTATTTACATCAGGCTGCTAATATGAAGCCTGAGAGCAAAAATAAGTTGWGTGAGTGATGGATGTTTAATATAGATTGTTTCATTTTATCACACTGATGTCACACAGGATGAGCGTCCTGACTGTGATGTCTGTTTCCTTTGTTTACAGTTTCAAACTATTAACTGTACAGAGTAAAAAGTTATGTAAAAAGTTTTTAAAAATTATATGTTCAACCAATTTTCTTTTCTTGTCTTTTCATGTACAGTTGTTGGGGGCTTTACCTAGAGGTTGACTGAGAAAAAGGTGGGCCTGGCTGAAAARGTGTGTGAAATTTAACCCAACTTGTAAAATGCTTGGACAGTGAAACTTTGTTCACTTGTTGTCTACAACAGTTACTGATCTATTATATTGTTATAACTGCTATCTCTAGCTTATATTTGTCTGAAATTTAAAAACAGCCTCTAAATCATGTGTCAAACTTAAGGCCRGTAAGCCAAATGTCTTAAAAAAGTTGTTTTAAACCAGCATTGACCAAAAACTACATCTCCCATAATGCATGTTGATTATTATAACTGCAAAATGATGGCATCCTACAAGGTGGAGGTGAACTGGGTTCAAAAGAGGTGTATCAACKTTCAAAATCTACATTTAGCTGCAATTTCACTACCCGTTCCCCGACTGCCATTTGGGGAGGGGGTCCTAAAGAAGGGCGGGCCGCGGGGTGCGGTCCTGGGCTATGGGTGGGCTCGGGGCTTGGATGGTTGCCGGGGGTGGGGCTGGCTCTCCATCCTCCCTGGTGCTGCTTGGTCTCCTGAGGTGTGGCTCTTGGTTCCTGTGGGTGGCCCCCTGGCCGGGGTGGCTGCCGGGTTCCGGTGGGTGACGGCTGGGGGGGTGCACTTGGTCATTGGCGGTGTGATAGGATGGTCATGGTTGTGGCTTCTCTGCGGCGGGGGTCTGGCCGGGTGTCCTGGTGCGGCCCGGGCTGGGCCTTGGCTATCTGCTCCTCTCCACCTCAGAATGATTGGGTCTACCTCCTGGGTTTGGGTGTGTGCTGCCTCCAATAGGGGTTGGGTGCATGTCCTAGACCTGGGGGTATAGCGTGTGTATCGGGAGGGTGGGATGGTGCGATTGTGTATGTTTGGATATTTGTCAGGCTGCGGTCTGGGCTGCCTCTCCTGCTGGTTTA